GGGGGACATCCTCGCCGCCACCGTGTGCGCGGCACTCAGCACCACACTGGGCTGTGCGCGCATGATCCTGGAGAGGAAGGACGGGGAGCAGGGGCTCGGTGTCCTGGGGCTGCCACGAGGGAGAGGCCGGGCGGGTGATGGCCGGGAGGTGGGGCTGGAAGGGCCCAAAGCTCCCCTGTTCAGGTGCAAGCCTTCAGGGGGGTGTCAATCCTCGCCGCCACCGTGTGCGCGGCACTCAGCACCACACTGGGCTGTGCGCGCATGATCCTGGAGAGGAAGGACGGGGAGCAGGGGCTCGGTGTCCTGGGGCTGCCACGAGGGAGAGGCCGGGCGGGTGATGGCCGGGAGGTGGGGCTGGAAGGGCCCAAAGCTCCCCTGTTCAGGTGCAAGCCTTCAGGGGGGTGTCAGGGAGGCAGAAGGGGGTCAGGGCCCCCCAACATAGGGCCCAGTCGTACTCATAGAAGTCGCTCTTGGAGATCCGCAGGAAAGTGCAGTCCCGCTGGGCTCGCAGCGTGAAGATGAGGGGCTCCCCAGTGAGCACAGCCAGCTGCCCAACCAGCTCGCCTGGCTGTGCTACGAACAGGCACACGTCCTCAGCCTTGTCGATCATGCGCTGGTAGACGTGCAGGCAGCCCCAGAGCACAAAGTGCAGGCTCACATCCTATGGGCAGGCACCAGGAGATGGGCACAGGGCCAACACTTCCACCCCCACCTCAGGTCAGTTCACCCCACAGGAAGCGGAGGGGGGATGAAGGCTTTGCATAGCTCAGCTGAGATACACACACACACACACACATATACATATACATATCTCCATATTATTCAGCTCCCAGGGCAGACATTGCTAATGGATCACCAAACTCTTAAGCCCAGATTATGGCCCATGAATTCTTTCCAACACAGCCAGCAAGAGGCTGCAAGCATTGGCTACGTAGGGGGTGTGGCTTCAGTCCTCTTTGCTCTTCTGGGCAATTGGATAGCCGCAGGGAAGAATAAAGTTGGATCCTCACCTTACACCATATCAAAATGGATTAAAAACATGAATGTAAGAAAACTATAAAACTCTTCAAAGAAAATACAGGGATCCATTTTCATGACCTTGAATTTGATCATGGATTTTTGTTGCATAAGCAACAAAATAAAACTTTTGAACTTCAAAGGACATTATCAAGAAAGTAAATGGACAAGTCACAGTACGGGAGAACATATTTGCAAATCATATGGCCTACAAAGGGTCTTGAATTCAGAATATATAAAGAAATCTTATAACTCAATAATAAAACAAATAACCCAATTTAAAAATGGACAAAGGATCTGAATATAAGAGAGATAAGCACATGAAAAGATCATGACTCATTAGAGAAATGCAAATCAAAACAAAAATGAGATGCCACTTCACACTCACTAGGAGAGCTAGGATCAAAAAATGTTAAAGAGAATGTGGAGAAATGAGAACCGCATACAGCAGGTGGGCGGGGAGAGGACAGGGTGCAGCCCCTGGAAAACAGTCCCAGAGAGTGAAAAGCAGAGTTGCCGTGTGACCCAGCCGTTTGACTCCTAGGTATCTACCCAACAGAAATGAAACTCATGTCCACATGGACACTGCGTAAGTGTTCACAGCAGCATTATGCATCATAGCCAAGAGGTAGAAAATGACCCAGATGTACATCAACAGGGGAATGGATCAGCCAGAGGCTGAGTGTCCACACAGTGAAACATCATTCGGGCATAGAAAGGAGTGACGCACTAACACGCGCTCCCACAGGACTGAACCTTGAAAGCATGCTGGTCAGGTGGAAGCCAAACACAGAAGCCCACGGAGCATGAGATTCCACGTACACGAAGTGTCCGGAACAGGCCAGTAGACAGAAATACGACTAGAGTGGTTTAGGGCATGGGTGGGTGGGGGGGTCGGGAGGCAGGAGACTGATAGCTG